TAAGGATTTGTGTACTAGCTGTTAAGTCTTAAAATATTCAAACCATTCTTACGTTTTCGTACTGTAATCTTAACAGTTTCATAATTTATGTCATCCTGAATGCGAATGAATAAGTCTGAATTAAAAGAAAATAAACTAAATACAGTAAGAGCTTCTGGATCATTTTAATTGCATATATTATTCCATTTTTCAGTATAACAATATTAAACAGTTGGTTGTTATGTTTAAAAATTTTCAAAAGATTATAGGAAATTCTGCAATAGGTTAGCATACTAAAAAGAGATTTAGAGATCTCTTGAAGTCTCAAATCCAAAACCCTGGCCTTTAGAGCTTAAGCCAATCACAATATTCTTTTCTATACGATATATGTGGGTGAAGTTTCATTTTTAGCTGTCTTATTTACTTTGAAACTGCTTTTCCTTGCTCAAAGATCTAAGAGTATGTTTCTTCTGTAGTATTAAATAGGCCAGAAAATAAGTAAAAAACAAATCAGAAGAAGTATCACCATCAGTACCGATTCTTCTTCCTGTAGTTTTACATCACAGACGTTACTTTCTCAGAAAAATAAGTTAAACAGCTGCAAATGACAGTTTCGATACTTTGACAAGTGCTATCATCAATGCCGAGAGAAAAAATTGTTGTTTGAATGATTGTGTGCGATCATTAATGACGGTAAATCAGAAAAATAGTTTCTAAAACATAATATCTGAACCTTAACCAAGATCATAATAATGAGTAAAATTGAAACACGGCTCCATTTAAGATGAAACAAAATAACGTGTAATGAAGTTTAGGGTGCATTATTTGCGCAATAATAAATTTCAGCTTGACATCTAAATGTTATTGCCTCAAATTCTCACTGTAAGGTTAAAATCCCTCCAAAATTTCTGACAAAGTTCTTGCCATAGTAATTGAAGTAAAGGACTGGAGAACAGTTACCTGCAAAAAGAGTGGACAGGGAAAATCTTCTAAAGAAGGCAAAGACCCACCCTCGGCCGTCACGCCACCAAAGACGATGGCAAGATATAGCACCGAAAAGATTATTCGTGACCGTTTACTACACTATCTGTTTTTTTTTAAGCGCGTTTCTTTTTATTTCTTTTCAGATTTTTGAGAAAAAAATTTCTTTTCTTATGATTTTAAAAGAATGAATTTTAAGATTCGCCAATAAAAACTACTTTAAATGTAAATACATACCCGTTTGCTAAAATAAAATCCAGTTTCTCGCACCTTTTACCACCACAAATATACAGCATCCAACATTACCACGCCATCTCCACAGCGGCAAAAGCTACTCTCAGCATTTTACAAACTAATCTTCTGAATCGCCAAACCCACCAAGCGTTATTTCGTGTGATGCAATTGAGATACCTAATAAACCAAACATAAAAAAATACACCTTTTGCGAACAGTAACTGAAAAAAAAGAAAGAAAAAATTCTTTTGATAGTAGTTTCTGAACATTGATAAATAGCCATTGGTGCTTAAGAGAGAGACCAGGTACACTTAATAATCCCAAGTGACAAGAGCACGTGCAATGCATAAGAGACACGCCAAAGGTAGGCTAACGAGCGTTCTTGAGTACCTGACAAGTGTCTAACATTCTTACATCCATCCTTTTCTTACGTCTTGCATATCTGTCTTACGTTTCATTTCCACTTTGGTTTGGCTGCAGATGAAAATCGCCAACAGCCGATTACCAAGATCCCCAAACTGAGTTCGTGACACTTTTTTCTATTAACACACTATTCATCTTCAACGATCTTCTGCTGTATCTGAAGATCTTTGACGTTTCACAAACTTACCCCAACTTCCTCTAGTTTTGTCAAAACTCTCACTCACTATTATATTCCTGTGAGCTAAGTTGAAGCAACTTTCCTTCTTTTTTTTAAAAAATGAAATTCCATACTCCTATAAATTTCAGTGCTACATTTATCTAGAGAAAGCTTAAACAATTTTATTTGCTAACTCGAAAGTTCCATGTCAAGTCTTAATTCGGCCAATGATAAATCATATTAAGTACAAAATTGGCCTGGAGTTAAACGGTACTTATTGAATTTGTTTTTAAGAAGTCTCTATTACTCTACTTAAACATAAATAACCTACACTCATGTAACCTTCTGTAACAAACTCATATTTATAGATTTAAATATTTATACTTGATGACTCGAAACTACAAAGTTTTAATCACTACGCGCTAATTTGACCAAAAATGACACAAGACAAGCACCAAAGTGATACCGCAAATTTTTAATTCGGTTCATATTTGTGCTAAATCTCTTACTGGAACCATTTTCATTAAGGTTCGATTTCATTGTTCTACATAAGTAAAAACACCTTATACATTTCGATAGCATACATTTACTATTTATAGTTGAAACTCAGTACTATATCATAACCATGGTGCATTTAATTCGATTAATGGTATCACGGGACGTGTATCAAAACGGCTCTATATTTAGTCCACTTTTAAGCTAAAAGTCTCAATTACATGACGTAAACAAAAATACTTTTTATCTCTATAAATTTCTAGGGTAAACTTTCACTTAAATAGTTTTAACTACTTATATTTCTTAACAAAGATTTACCATGAGAAAACGATGTTCGTTCCAATTTGACTAATTATCTAATACTAAATCGGCCTTGCATCTTGTTTATATTCTTGCTAAACTGCCTATTGAAATATTTTTCATGAAATTTCAATTACACTTAATGTAAACAAAGCTAGTGTCTATGGTTCGAAATTTCATAAATCCCACAACAATGGTAACTGATGCACGTAAAATCCGTTGAGTCACAAAGTCCTCCATGTTCCCATAAAAAATCTTACCTCTGGGGATACTGACCCAGGAGTTTCCTTGTCAACTGGATTGGTTCAAAATGACAAGGTTACGTAGTTGAACATTAGCAGTCGTAAACCCGAAGTTGGGTCGGCTGTTCAACAATCATTATTCCAAAAATAAATAAATAAATAAATAATAAAAAGACATTATGGCAAGAAAAAGTAACGAGGAAAAGTATTAGAGAGCTATAAAAATTGCTAACAGAATGTTTTACTTTTATTCCTTTGTAAATTTTTTCTAGATTTTTAACTTTTAAATGGATTGAATGCGTTTTTATTCACCATGATTCCGTAAATCTTTCTTACACGTATGATTTGTCTGAAAACTGTTTTTCGTGATGAGTTAAAGCTAAACTTTTAAATTTAAATGGTTGGATAAAAACTTTTTTTAATTATGATTTCATAAATTTTCTCAACAAATCATAAATTTATAAAGTTAAACAGTGTTTTTACCCATTATGAAATTCAATTTTGAATCGAATTGAATTGAATTTATATTCAAATAAAATAATATTGAAATGTAAATTAATTATAAATTCTTACAAACAGCGTCTTAACTCTGCAAAACATGAATCCAAATTCAAAATATTATTGATAATTCACTAAATGCAATAAATTAATAATAAGTTCTTTTAAGCACCACTTTGAAATATCAAGAATTGAAATTGAATTTAACAGAGAAGAAAATTAAACAAATAAAATAAATTGAAGGTGAATTCCATTTAACAACACATTTAACCTGGAAAAATTGTATATAAATTCAAGATATAATAAGTAGAAAATTCAGCAAACTAAGTATAGATGAATGGTAAATTCTTATAAACGGCAGTTTACATAGAGAAAAAGAATAGTATTTTTAAAAATGCATAACTCGCGCATTTTTTTTTACCAATTTATCAAATTAGCTATTGACGTATCACAGGAACGTAGCATTATCAGAAATATTCTTACGTTGTTCTATGACGCATGAATAAAAAATTTAATAATTATGTTTTTTCTCTCTTCAAAAGTGACATGGGGAGACTTCAGTCATATCTCACAAATGTCCACCCACATGATGAATGAATAAGGAAGTTGTTCTTAATTAGGATTCTTTGTAAAGCATAACTTCATTTCAGTTCACAAAAAGGAAAATGATTGGAAAGAAGGCGGAGTAAAAAAGTCTATAATCGGATGTCATTAATTGCTTCGTAATTAGTGACATTTTTTCGTCCATCCCATCCTATTTTTTGCTAAACTCATATTTTTTAAAATAAATAATAGATGCAAATTTTATTAGTTATGGTCACATAATGACTTATATTCTACAGCCTCAGAGGTTATTACATATTTCAAGAAAATGCGTAATTTTTTCTCTTCAAATTGAATCTGCAACAAAATGAATATAACACTGCGCAAATAAAATGAAATATTTTAGAATATGAATTAATTTTTTTTTATTCATTAGCAAATTAATTGATTTGATTGATTTAAAAGAGATTTAATTTGGTGTAGCTATTTAAAGCTCAGCATTAAAACAGAAAAAAAAAACTGAATCCTAAAGGGATTTTTTTTTAATGTTTTCTATGAGTTCTAAGATAGTTTTAAATGACAATGATAGTTTTTTTTTAAATTTTAAATAATATTACACCTTTATATACAATTGTACATTGAGACAAAAATCGTCATTTAATCTAATTTTATATTATGATAGCTATATATACAATTATTTAATATATATATAATATTTGAAAAGAAATTAAGCAGGTTATGGAAGAGATTTATAAAAATTCTGCATTTATAAATATGCCCCTTTTTCAGATAGAGGAAAGTAAAAAGATGTTTCTGTTTGAATTTTCTCTAAAAAAAATTAAACAGCGTGTTGCGAAGTGAATTTCCTATTGTAGCAGAAACTTTTGTATTAAATTGCCAATAATGTAAAGTACTGAATTTTGTTCCGTTGTAGTTCAAATATTATTTCAGAGAAACTGAAGAGTAAAAAAGTATTGCCGAATTCAATGAAAAAAAGTACTCAATGATTTATTAAAGAAAAAAAAATGCTTTTACAACGCTGTAAGAATAATGTAATAAATTGTCTTTATTTCTTTCAAATACTTATTATATAATATATATCTTTAAATGTTATTAACCATTAATTATAATTATTATTATTATTACAGTTTTATAAGGAGACCTGAATACTTCTGGTAAATGATGACTAAAATAGATACACCTTAAGTTAGCATTTGAAAGGGCGATAAAGTAAGTAAATTAACATAATTATTTTAATTATATGTCTGTATGTATTAATTGCTAGCAGATGATTATATGCAATTTCTAGCAGAATCTTGAACATGTAAATTAAAACACCCACTTTAGGTCACCAACAGCGCCATTTTTAAAAATAAAGCAGAAATCAATTATTAATTCATTTATTGTTAATTCATTCATTTATGCTATATAAATCCATTTAAAAAAATAATTGCGATAATTTGCTAAATTAGTTTATCATACTTTTTTTTTTTTAAGTAAATTACTGATGTCATTATTTGACTTTGCAATTTTATTTGATGCATGTTATTTGATACATGCTGGTAGCTTTTTTTAAAATACTTGGCTTTGTTGATTGATTGATTTAAATTTAAAAATAAAATACAAACATGGGTCTAATAGCTGTTTTTCTTTATTTCTTCATTATGTTTTTGATTAATTAAATTAATTATTCTTAACATAGTCTTAAATAAGAAATATTTAAAGAAACTAATAAAAAGGGATAACTCATGCAATGGAAAAAAGTAAAATGACATATTTAAATCCTATAATAAGTTTTCTTAGAACTAAAAATATATTGTATGTTATACATAGCAAAGTATGCAGTCACGAAAACAGTCATACAAATAAATATGATACATTCATAGTTCATAAACCACCAAAGCAGGAAATAAATAAGCAAATTCAAATAAACTTGAAACAAATGAAACTTATTTTTATATCCCTTACTATTTTTGAGAAATAAATCATATTTTCAGAACATAAAAAAATGCTCTTACATCAAAAACCCATTTCACGGGGCATAACTAACTCCATTCATACGCCAAAAGCAACGGCAAAAAGAAATTAATAAAAAAAAATAAAAAAATAAAAAAAAGACAACAAATAGATGGGTCTGACTCTCAACTGTACTCCTATACAAACATATTCGCACATGCTACTTTTCAAACTGAAGGGTAGAACGAGAAAAAAAAGCCAAGCCCTCCCACTATTCTATACATTTTTTTTTCACACATATATTCCGTTGCAGGAAAGAAAAAGTATGAACAAAAAAGAATAGCTGTGTTTATTTAAGCGCTCGTCAATCAGGACTTGTGATCAGGAATTAGTTTTAGTGCAGATAAAATAGCTACAAAAGTCGACCTCCTCTGGTAGAGACGATTTGCAGGGAATAAATTCGACATGAAGGGGGAAGGAGAGAAGCGTCGTAAAATTTAATTGGCCCTCTTTAGAACACTCTTGTGGAGTGTAAAAATGAGATACAGTCGCCAACTCTTGTGACTGCCTTCGAGGTAGAAGAATTAAACGTTTAGTAAGAATTTGGGGGTTGTTTAATCTTACTTGCATTTTTTATTTTGTTATTAATTTAAGATCCAGCACGTAAATTTCATAGCACGCTGAAGAATTAAAAAGAAGAAAACAAAAATCGGTTTCTATTTTTTCTTAGTTCGATTTTTAGTCTGCTTTTTAAACAGTCAGTCCATATCGGAATTGCGATTGCCAATATTCTACTCGTAATTTTTAGCCTTACTCAGAAGACGAGGGAACACTTTGGTGGGGCATTGATTCAAACTCGGCTTCGTGAAGGACGCGAATTTTGTATTTTACGAATAAGGACCTACGAAGAACCTTCCACGTCTACCCCGACGCAAGACGGAACTGAATTGTTTACCAATAAAGATGTATTAGGTGCAGATGTATTTCGTGAAGATGTATTATGTGTAGCTGTATACGTGAAGATGTATTACGTGTAGAGGTATTACATACAATCAGTCCGACCCGAAAGTCGAACATAATTTATAAAACAACCATGACCGGGTTTAAACCTGAGTTGATTCATACGAAAACGAATGCTATAATCCTACTAATAATCCCCGCTCTATATAATTAACAGTCTATAGAATTAAGATCCCTGGTAGATCTTCCGCACAGTCACATAGCTATATTCTGCGCATGCTCCGTGAAGATCTGAAATAGTGAATGATCTGCCGTGACTCGAGGGCACAAAACATACCTACGTGAAAATTGAAAATGCTGCGTGAAAATGCTATTTTTTCCGATTATTTAAGTCTGATAGTATTTTATCTAACAAATATGTCGAAAATACAGTTCACTGTCATTGTTATTTTATAGACGCATTACCGCTGACGTTGAATCAGTACGAAACGGCAAATACTTATTTATTTTTATGATGATAATCTTGTTATATTGACCATCAATTCGAAAGCAATGGAATTTATGATTTAAGTATCGGGATGAATTATATTAAACTTTTTTGCAGGCATATTATATGGATTTATATTTTGTTTTATAAAAATATTATTTAAGTTAATACTCAATATTTCTGCATTAAATAACGTTTTAAAAAACTCATTACGAACCTTCGAGATTAAGCAGCCCGAATTTGCGTAACAAAGGTAGAAGAGACACCAAAGCATCAGGTTACACATTTTTGCACATAATAAAATATAAAGGACGGGCTAGCCTGGTTGGTAGGGCATTGAGCGCATGTTCGTGAGTTCGATCCCAGCCAGCTAAAAACTCCCCGTGTATTTGATGGTGACTGGAGCAAGTTAAATCAGCCGACTCACAAAGTCCTCCATATCCCCATAACAAATCAGTAGGATACTGGGTTGGGATCTTTAGGGATACTGGGTTGAAGATTCAATCAGTCTGCGGAGGAACCGAGGGTGTGCGGTATTGGTCCTCGATAAACTACTCTACCTTAAAGTGTTCGACTTCGTGTCCAGGTCGTCGGGCTATCGAAGTGGGGTGCCACCCCTTCTACAGAGGATCAAAATTGTGGTGGCATGTCTTCGGATCATCCTCAGGGACGTTTCCCAGACCGTCGCCAATAGCCCATTTTGCAGCTCTAGTGCGACGTAAATGAACTACAACAAAATAATAATAAAAATCCTAAATTATAAAAGAGTCTTGATATATAATTTCCACCAGTCTATCTTTTGCCTTTAACAGTAACGGATGTTGATGCCGTTATGAATAGGAAGTCAAGTTTGTATTGATGCATGTCTAAAGAGTTAGTATCATGTTTTCTGCTAATTTTAAAATTTTAAGGTAGCGGATTTTCCCGATTACTTTAAAGGCCTGGTGCACAGTGATGTTGATAATATAAACAATGATGTTCACGATAAGGGATTATATACACAATCAATTGCACTATTTAGCAAAAATTTTAATGGATATTATTCTGAGTAATGCTAAGTATTGCATTAAATCGCAAAACTAATGTAAATTCTGTACTTCATTTTGCGTTGTTTCTTTCTATTCATAGAGAAGTAAAGCATAAATTTTTATCATTTAATTAGTTCGATATCATGATATAATTATTCATTATAGCTTTATAATTATTCATTAGTTCGCTTTGCAAAGTTTTTGCTCACATGGGTTCTCTTTTACATAAAATGTCACAGGTTCTTTTTTTTTATTTTTTATTCTTCTAAAGAATGGGATTGGAGGCCGATTAATTGTTTAATTACAAAAAGTGTTTTTTCTTTCCCTCCCCCCTTTTTTTCCTCTTTTTTTCTTTCTTTTCTTTTTACTGCTCACTCTTTATTGCTTCTACCTTGAGTATTGCGTCCAAGATTCTATCCGAAGCTTTTTTTTTTCGGGATTGGTCTTTATTTGTATTAAAAGCTTGTGCTTTGAAAAAAGATTGGAATTCCATATTCCCAAAGGGTTAGCTATTTTTATTCGAAAGCACTGAATTTTTTTTCGAAGAAGTATCCTTTATCAACATGCATTCGATTTTTTCCGTCGACTCGTTCGATAGAGGGGTGAGCGAGCTTGCCATGCACGACAATTGAATAACGCCATCAGGGGTTCCCTAAACATGTTTTCTATTTGCGTGGGCCCTCTCGCTGCGGGCAGAGTAATATCACGAAATCCATTCGGAAGCCGAAGTTAGAACACTTTTGCTAAATCAAGTTGCGGAGAAGAGTGTTCTGGCGTTGATGTACTAAGAACCTAGAAAAGCCATTTCCGATTGCTTTGATACCCAATCAAGGACTCGGTTGGAAAAGCTTTCAAGATTTGATGGAAATTCCGAGTTTAGCTCCACAACATAGAATTTCCATCACACGAGCTTTTCCTTTTCGTCTCTCTCGTCTTATTCCATTCTGTTTATATAGTTTTCTATTCTTTTCATTTTAATACAATGCTAAGACTATTTTGACATAGAATGAAAGATATAAAAAATTAATGAGATAAAAGAAAGAATTTGGAGAAATAAATAGTCGATGAGTTAACACTAGAAATATTGTTGTCAAATTGATTGATCTTTAATTTTATGTTTGTCAATTAATTAAAAAAATATGAAAATGTAATTGAGAAAATTATCTTGTCTTTTTCTATTGTGCCTTTATTGTTTTTTATTATTTATATTCAAACGCAGCAGTAGGACTATAATAGATTCGACTGTAAATTCAAAATTTACTGAGCCAAAAAGTATTCGGAATGATAGATAGTTCATTGGTTCATTCAAAGAGTAATAGTATAAAAATGATTGAGGTCTTTAATTTCAGGACAGTTTTGTCAATTAATAAAAAAGAAATTTTTTTGAAAAATTATGTAGCCAATTATCTTGTCTTTTTCTATTATGCCTTTATTGTTTTTTATCATTTATATTCAAATGCAGCAGTAGGACTATAATAGATTCGACTGTAAATTCAAAATTTACTGAGCCAAAAAGAATTCGGAATGATAGATAGTTCATTGGTTCATTCAAAGAGAAATAGTATAAAATTGATTGTGGTCTTTAATTTCAGGACAGCTTTGTCAATTAATAAAAAAGAAATTTTTTTGAAAAATTATGCAGCCATTTATCTAGTCTTATTCTATTATGTATGTATCATTTTCTTATTATTTGTATTCAAATGCAATGTTTGGACTATTTCGACTTCGACTGAAAGTTTAGGATTTACTGAGAGGGAATTTGGAGAAATATAGATAGTTAATAATTCAATATAAAGAGT